TATCTGTTAAGGGCACACTTTGCCAAATCTCAGTTCTTTGGGAACTAAAAATGTACCCTGAAGCCTACCTGTCCGTGTGCAGCAGTATTAGCATAGCCTGCTTTTGATGGCACTTTCCTCCCACATTTTTATTTGCATTTCACCTTGAGACTGCATATTTCAATATGAACTTCCTTGGGTGTTAATAACGTTAATTTCTCAGTATTGTTAATAAAATAAATATTTGCATTTATTCTAAATAACAGTGTAATTTAAAATTAGATATAAATAACGTGCTAGTCAAAACTCCCAACTTGTAAATCTCATTAGGCCCACTGCCAGGCAGCATGGCCTGAGGCCCTACCAACCCCCCTTTGGCTCAGGTGGGCCACAAGATACCCTGTCCCAGGCCAAGCCGCTGGCCATGGTGACTGGGTTTGCAGGCTAAACCTGTAATTTAGAAGCTTGTATTTTTAAAAATACAACATTTTTTAAGATAATGTAGCATCTGTGTGTGTAAGCTCTTCAGTATCACTATCTTATGCTGGTATGCGTGGAGCAATGGGCTCTGCGGGGCCTCTCTGCCTGCCACCAAACGCTCTGCAAGCTTTTGTGGGGTCGGCCTGTACTCCAAATGGTCGTACATCGCAAAAGAGGTTTTCAACAGAATTAAGTTGGAATGATTTGTCAGCACTTGTGATGTTTCACAGCTCAGAAATGCAGTTTCAAACAGAGAGGGTATTATGCAATTTCTGCAGGATTCATGAATCACAGGTTACTGGACTTCCTCCTGAAAGACTTCATAAATTGAGTCACTTTTTAAACAAACACTACACAATGGCAAGCAAGGCCAAACCGATGTAAATACGAAAACACTGACATGCAGAAATCAGATTCCTTCCGCTGTCTCCTCCCAGCTGATACCTTCCTCCCTTATGCAAACCGCTGGACACTTTCCAAATGACGGAGTCCCTTCAGGAAGGGTGGCTTCTGCACCTCTCGCCATGCATCCTACCTAACCAAAGCCTGAGAAAGTCTTTGTTCGTGATTTCAGGAATTGGTCAATTGTGAGCAAGCTCTGAGTAAGGCTCTTTCCCTTTTTTGATGGAATCCACTGGAGAATTTGATGTAATCTCCTCTGGCATTTTTTTTTGGACAACGCATTTTTTAATTCGCTTTTGATAGTTGGACACATCATGAGAGAATGATCACGATATCATTCCACAGCAGCAAGAGTGTTTTTGTTTTGTTATTGTTGTTTTTGTTTTTTCAAAAGATGTGCCTGTATTGTTTGAAATATGCACACCAATTAGGAGTCCAGTTAAAAATAGAATAAACTGAGTAGAAAAGTCATCTCTTCAAGTACAAAAAGGCAAACTAGTCCACAGGGCTGGGCATCTAAAGCCTGAGCACTAATACTCTAGCTTTAAGCTGCTTTGGTTCCTATGGTGCCATTAGCTTCACAATATTAAATTGCTGAATTTACCTGAAATATTTGTAAAAGCAACTCAAAGGTTATGGAAGAAAGACAATCCTACTTCTTCCAAATTAGGTCAAAATGGAGGAAAAGTTCACATATATGAAAGCAAGTTCACATTTTTCTATTTCTTTCAGGTTTACTTTTAACATTCTTGAACAGACAACCAGAAATCAAGTGCCAACCATATCCTGGGCTCCATCAAAAGGAGCGTGGCCAGCAGAGCGAGAGAGGTGATTCTCCCCCCTCTGCTCTGCTCTCCTGAGCACTCACCAGTGCTCACCTGGAGTGCTGCATTCAGCTCTGGGACACCCAGCACATGAAGGACACAGGACTATTAGAGCAAGTCCAGAGGAAGGCCACAAGGAGAATCAGAGGCCTGGAGCACCTCTTCTATGAGGACAGGCCGAAGGAGTTGGGGTTGTTCAGCCTGGAGAAGAGAAGGCTCCAGGGAGACCTTACAGTGGCCTTCCAGTGCCTAGATGGGGCCTAGAGGAAAGATGGGGAGGGACTATGTCAGGGAGTGTAGTGATAGGACAAGGGTGGATAGCTTTAAACTAAATGAGGGTAGATTTAGATTGGATATGAGGAAGAAATGCTTTACTCTGAGGGTGGTGAGGCCCTGGCACAGGCTGCCCAGAGAAGCTGTGGATGCCCCATCCCTGGAGGTGTTCAAGGCCAGGCTTTGGGCAACCTGGTCTGGTGGGAGGTGTCCCTGCCCACGGCAGTGGGGTGGAACCAGGTGGGCTTTCAGGGCCATTCCAACCCAACCCATTCTGTGATTCTGGGATTCTAAACCAAACATGAAGTCACATGCAATGCATTTTCCAAGTATTCAGACAGGCTGAATAAGCAAATGACCAGAAAGTGTTATATTTTTCTGTCCTTGTAAGGCAAGCTCATACCCAACAAGTTTTATTAGATTCCATATTATCTGCATTTACAGCAGGGCTTGGGACAAACGTTGTTGTTGCTGTTTTTTCTTGGCTGGTTGGTTGGTTTTTGTTTTTAATTTCATCATCCGATGGCACTAACTCAAATGTATAACCTGGTTTGGGTTAACACATACTTCTGCATAGCAGCCTGAAAGCTTAAGCCAAAAAGAAGGAGCTGTTCTTGAAGGTTCCTGAGCGCTGCCTACTGAAAGTAGTGGAAATCTTGTAACAAAAACACTTTGTGAGTTTCTAATAAACTGGCAGATGTTACTAACTGACTCTGTTTGTTCCACTCCAGCAGCTTTTGCAGACATCAGCATTAGTGTAATACACCTACAGTAAGCTACACTAAAAATAAATAAAAAACAACCAACTTCAAACCTAACAGACTCAAAAAAATATATTGTGGTTACTTAAGAAATACAGATTGTGTCATTTTGCTGAAAGGCTGATGACTGATGACAAAGGTTTAGTACACATCTTTCTTCTCTAAAATACATATTCCAGTCATACCAGTTTGCTTAAAGTTTACTCAGAAACATAATATAGCTAAAACAGGGTGGGATTTAAAATAATCATTTAGTGTCAAAAACCACACAGATAGTGAGGACTTGATTCTGGACTAAGCTACTGCAGGAAAAAATCCTACAGACTTCAGTAGGAGTTTTCTTATTCTAGGATTTATTTACTTTAGTAGGGCTCTTCTTGCCTGTAATTAATTGTCCGTTCGTAGGCTGTTGCCACATTTAAAAAGATCAGTCCAGTGGTTTCCCTAATTATCTTCTAGGATGACAACATATTTATATATGTGTGGGAAGGTGAGGAGGGAAGGGGAAGCGTTAATGAGGCTGATATTTTTCAGAAGAAAGTATTTTGGTCTGGGGAAAAATAAAACTATATATCACAAGCAAATGAATTTTTCCACCACTGTCAAATTACGATCCTATGCAATTTGATCAGTGCTTTAATCGCATACAGCATGTTGGTTGTTCAGCCAGATGTCAGGTCATCTAATTATGCCACAGGAGTACTGGTAAAAACATTCCCATAATTGATGCGAGTATTAGGAAAATTAAAACATATACATGTATAACAGTAATGTTTGTTATTAGGTTTTCAGACATTTTTCTGCAAATATACTAGGTATCTTACAGAATGGAGGTATCTTTAAAAAAAATATTTCACATCTTATCAGTCTAACCATTTTTAAGCTTTCCCTATATTTTGTTCCCACTAATACTTTCCAATCTAAAATAAATGGCTAAACCTTTTCCATGTGTAGCAAAAAAAAAGGTGTAAACTTGCATTCCCTGGATTATTTGTTTCAGTATTTCTCATGTTTGCAGGCTCCTCAAAATTTTCCTGTGCAACTGAAAACCTCCTAACAAGAAGCATGCTTTTCTTACTTATCTTTCATAAGCCCCTTAAAAGTGGGCACTTGGGGTCCCACGGATCACAGGTTCGAAATCATGGCTAAAAAGTAGGGTAGCAACTAGCTTCTCTTAACTGACCTGGGGAAAGTTTCCAACAAGAAAAAAAGAAACCTTTAAAGCTTTTGGGGGGTTGGTGGTTTCAGTCTTGGTTGAATACGTGTAAGCTGTGAACTAGAGAATGTTTGTGGGGTCGAGGCATAGGTAATTTTATAAATTCTGCACTTTAAATGCAGCTTTTGTTGACATTGATGAAGAGGACATAGTTAATTTCATCTGTAAGAAGAGGCAACTGCAGCATCTGGGGAATCTATAGCACAGGCAGACATGGTCCTGATCTACACGGCACAGGATGGGAGCTGCACAGCTGTGGTTACATCAGGAGACACAGAAGAGCGCAAGGTAAATATGTTGTGAACATGCACCTCCATGAAGCATCATCTTTAAGTGACACATGATGGTGATTTCCCACCAGCATCATGCCATTGATCTTCATAGCTATTCCTAACCTACAGAAAAAACAGCGGAGAATGGGTTCCGTAGTGTTTAAACAATGTGTGAAGGCCCACACAGAACGAGATGAATCAGTCCTTTGTTTCCAGGAGAGATAGGATCTCAAAAAGGTCTTCATGGCAAAGCAAGCAGGTAACTGTAGATTTTTAGGTCAGATCTAAGCACGTGCGTGGCAGAGCTATTCTCAAGCATATCTATCCTGGTACTGTGCTCAGTTAGGTGGCAAACCGTGATGTCTGAGGTTATATTTACTGGTTTTGACTGCAGACTCAATTGCACCATTCTGTGGCGTGCTGTGGGAAGACTGGTCTGTCCTTTGTGGGTACCTGTACAGATGTGACTTTGTCCTACAAACATAGTAAACTGCTTTCAGTTGGCATGCTGAAGTTTTCTCTCTGCAACCTCTGTTCCATTCAGTGGTAAGGCAGGGGTCCAGCTTGGAGCACTGATCTGTTCCAGCTGTTGGCATTAACACAACTTTCAGTTTGGAACCAGGAGGTAAATGCAAGACATGAGACATATTTGAAGGCATTTTGTCAGTGACTTCTTGTTAGCCAGCAGCTTGCCAGACTAACAGCAACGTGCAGACGCAGTGGCAGCTGATAGAGATTTTTATAGCTGTGAAATCCCATCACGCTGATGAGTGATGCTGTGGTAAGGCTGCAAGCAGAGAGCGGTGAAGCAGCCCTGTCCTGCACACCAGAAGGGATGTCAGAAGGGCCAAAGAGGGAGGACTGTGAAGCTGTTGGAAGAGCTTGCCCCTTCACTTGTCCAGCAAAGATGAGCCTGTAAGGAAGCTGAAGGCAAGAAGATCTTCCAGTCCACTAAGTACATCCCATCCAAGCCCCAAAACAAAGACAAACTGAAGCTACGTTACAGCTGGAATTGTCCCATCACCCAGGTAGGACACTGTGGCCTGCAGGTACCTGCAATCTTTTGCTGCTGTAGCAACACCTGGGAGAGTGTGTGAGGACCCAAAGGAGAGAGCTGGCCTGCCAAGCTCATTTTCTGGTGTGAGCCAGCAGGGTTTGTATGATGGGGCCAGGGGCTCGTCCATAGGCAGTGCTGGGGAAGCGCACACACAAGGCAACTGCTTCCTGGGAGAGATTCTGGCTGCCTCCCTCTGCAACCTCTTCCTTCCAGCACGAGAAGCCGGGAGATAGCTCTAATTCTCATCAGGATTAAAAATAAGACTGTGACCAAATTTGGCTTGCCCTGCTGGATTCACAAAGTGTTTATGAAAGAGCTGCATGGAAATGAAACCTGGGGAGCAATTGTTTAGCTTAGTGGCAACGGTAACGAGGAATGTGAGATGCATTTGTGATATCTGGGCTCAGGGGCTGAAATCTGCATTGTTACCTTTTGTTTTATCCTCTGTGAACTCTCATTTTCAGTAAGTGAAGGTCATGTAAAACGGCTCTTTACCAGCCCACATCCACACCCAGCAGACCAGCATTTCCTAATTAGGTTATATTCAATCTTTATAATGTGCTTGTAATAGATGCGGCATAATCTCAACTGATATTATTCACTTCCCAGGAATGTACAGCTGAAGCTGCTCTGCAGGCTCTGACTGCAAACAATGGGTGTGCAGCTGACAAATAAAAGTAGCTATTTTACATGCCCTGGTCTATTTGGATTCCATTATTCAAGCGATGTCTGCTGAACAGGTATTCACATTGAAAAACAAGCACAATTACAATTTTCTGATGTGGCAGCTATTTTTGAAACTCATTAAAGCTTGCTAGTGCTTTTCCCATGCAATGAAAAACTGGAATTGCCTGTTGTAATATTGGCTGGCAGATATGAATGGTTTCAGCTCACATTTTATAATGAAGAAATGAGCTCATGCTATATAATTGCGGGCTATCCCCAAGAATATTTTTATTCAGCCTTATTGTCAGACTAAATTAAAACCGCTGAAGAGCCTGGTTCCTCATGATGCCAGGTGCTCTCAGCTCCCACAGTAGTTAAGGGAAGGCAAGAGTGCTCAGCAGTTTCAGAAGCAGTCCCTAAACGCTGATAGCAATGTGCTAATTTTTATATTAAGCAAGACAACATTTTGCAGAGTTGTCATTGTTCTTTTACTCTTTGTTTGTGAAGGGAACAATTATTATTAAAATGAATATTTATTCTATACTTCATCCATTTATTACATTTACAATACAATGAAGACTTTACAATGAACAATTAGAATAACCTTTCAAGGTGTTGTTTTTTCTTTTTTTTTTTCCCTATTACTTTTCCTCTCCTAAGCTTGAAACAGCCATCGACTTCCTTTTATTAAAAATTAACTAATTACCTATTTGAAGCTGCTGGTGATTACAGACAGTGGCATCCATCTGGCACTAGAGACTTGTTTGCATCCTCTCCTTCCAGCTACTGGGGGCTTGTGTCCTCCCTGGGGAGCTCCGTGGAGAAAAGTGGTCTGAACTCAGGGGACCCAGAGAGAGCAGAGGATGAAAGAAAGAAAAGCTGTTTGGGGCACTCGATGAACTACCACCTTCTTTTGCCAGCTGAATCGCTGCCTCACCCCATGCGCTGCCCCCAGGCAGATCTGGGCAGTCTGAGAACACGTGGGGGAAGGTTGGTGCCTGCACGCACACGTGCTTGCACGTGGGGTTTTGTAATGCAGGAGGAAAAGGCAGGCTAGGGAAGCCAAATTGTGTGCAGTGTTGGAATACCAAAAAAAGTTGCATGTCAGACATCCATCACTGATACGTAAAAGGTCATGTGAAGGCCTTGCTCGAACAGGGGGTCAATTAGCCCTTCTTTCTCCCCTGTGTCCGACGTGTTATCACCGCAGAGGATAATGAGTTAAAGCTAAGTAAGGACCTCGGGAGATCAGAGGTCACAGAACGAGAGGCTAAAAAATGGGATCCAAATATTATAAGTCTTTCAACACTGTTTTCTAGGTATTCTGTTAAATATCCCACCGGGAGGCTTCTTTTCGTCAAAGCTAACCACATTTCTTTGGACTTTCTTCTCTGAGTGATTTCAAATATATAAAGAATTTAGATGAAAAACAGATCTGTATTTTTTCATTGTTTAAAAAATGGTAGAAAATGCACATTTCTCAGAAGAGTGATAGTGATTGTATTTATAGAAATTCCCAAAGTGACAGTTACAGAAATAATCTGTGGCAAACAAGTTGCAGGAGATTTTTCCCTCAGTCAGATCACATTATTTCTTTCCAACGCTGCATAATAATTTCCATGAAAAGAAGCTGCACTGTGTAGCCCTGATCATTGCTTTGACTTGGTAAGAGCAATCAGTGAGGAAAAACTATAAGGCTGGGGAACAGAGCAGCTTCCAAATAGGATTGTTATAAGGAAGATGGTTTCTGTGTTCTTTGGGCTCAGGGAGAGAAGAAAGTGGGTTACTTTGCAGCAAAGAGAGAAGTAAGCTGCTTATCTGCCAGGAAAACAGCAAAAATAATGGTACTGAAGGGATGACTCTGTGGAGCTACCGCAGGGGGCTGTGGGGTTTCCATCAGCAGATGGTTTTAGCAACAGAGGATAAATAGAGGTGTGAGAATAGCCTGGCCCCGTCTGTGGTTTCCCAGCCCATCCACAGTGCCTTGGGGATCTGTGGGCACTGTGAAAGGTGGCGAGGGAGGTGGGTTTGTGCCCATGATGCAGCAGCCTGTGTCAGGTAACTGTAAAGGGGCTGTGTTCCCCCTGGAAAAGTGAATGGAGAGGTCTGGAGGTTTCTGAAAGGTTTTAAAAGGAAAGCTTGCTTGATCCTGCATCAGGGCACAACACAGAGGGGATGACCCTAAAGTCCCTTCAGACCCTACAGTTCTATAACTCTATAAATCAGGTTATCAGAAATGATGTATATTTGGGTATGGCCTTTGGTTCTTTGTGATAAAATTGGCACTCCACACAGATTATTAAAAGAGACAAAAATTCAGACTATTCCTATATATGATTACTCAATACTATTTAGGAATGGCATTTCAGAATGCAACCTTAAGGAACGCTGGAAAATAGCATTAGACAGATTTTGAAAAAGGTTTTAGTGATATGTTGTTTGTCATCGTAAAATGAAGAGTGGTTATGTGAAATAGTTTAACTTCTTAGCTTCCAGAGCTTATGTTAACGGTGTGTGTTTTAAGGATCATAAAACCTTTCCCAAAGTACAGCTTTTGAGCAGTCGATTTCAAAGCATAAGACTCTGCTTAATGATCCTCACTAAATTCATAATATAGCTGCAGCTGAAAGAAGTGCAAAAATGCCACGGACTTGAGTTGGACACGCATAAATAAAACCAATACTATGACAAGTAGAAGTCATCCTGATTCAGGAAGGCACTTAAACAGATACTTTAATACTTACATTCTCTAGATATCATGGGGACTAAAGTATTCAAGTATTCAAGCATGCCTGTCATTTAGGAATCTTAAGACTGTGCTTCAAACTCCAGTTTTAGTTCCTAATGTCAGAGGTTTGAAACGACAGGAGAGACAGCCTTAATCTGTGGTGGAAAGGGACCAAGCAGTGGAAGATTCCATCATTCCTTGCAATCAGTTCAAAATCTGCATGTTATTAACAACACTGAGGCTTTAACTGCTAAGAATTTGGAGGAATTCGGGATCTTGTAGGAACCATCGTTCCCCCTCCGACAAATACAGTTCTGTCCTCCAGGGTTTCCTGTAGCACTCAAAGCTGGGAAACAGATTGGCAATTTTTCTGCAGAGAAACTGAAACTTTTCTCTGAAATGTTAGTGCCTCAAAACAATAACTGCATTTACTTGTGTTAGAATGCTTTCCATTTAATGTATTCCTGTGGTTCTTCATGATCAAATGAAATTCAGAATGGATTTGAGGAAAAGGTTCTTCACTGAGAGGGTGGTTGGGCACTGGAACAGGCTCCCCAGAGTGTGATCACAGCACCAAGTGCTCTGGAGTCCAAGAAGCATTTGGACACCTCTCGCAGACACATGGTCTGATTTTTGGGTGGTCCTGTGTGGAGCCAGGAGTTGGACTCGGTGATCCTTGTGGGTCCCTTCCAACTCAGGATATTCAATGGTTCTGTGGTTCTATGATCCTTGTGGGTCCCTTGCAGCTCAGGTTGTTCTGTGAAATGTGACCCATGGTGGTACACTTGGGCACAGTGCAGGTTAAAGAAGACATTCCCTGTACTGGGGTGGCACAGCCTGCTTTCTGTAATCCTACAGTGCCTAACACAGGAAACAAAAAGGTAAGACCAGCGATACGAGTACAACTGAACTGGTGTTGCTGCAGCTGCTGGCAGAACGGGCTTTTAGGACCAAAGAGAAGCTGCTTGCCTTCTCATCACAGCGACATGAAGCACAAGCATGAATCTCAGAATGGGAAAGACAACAGTAAAATGAAGGGGGAAAAGCTGGAACAGGTGCCACAGGTCAGAGGCACAGGAGGTCGCTACATGAAGGAGCCTGAGAGAGAAACGAGAGTTAAACCAACTGTGACACGGTACAGTGACATGCAGAGGTGTGGAACCCAGCTCTGAAAAAGAACCAAAAAAAAAGGATGTGGAAGAGGCAGGGATGTGCAACATGACTGGGACAAGCTTTTCAGCGTGCCACTGTGCAGCACTGGCAGCCTGGCATTACAGCAGACAAACCTGTGCACCTGCCTGCTTCGTCCTCAGACATAGCTGTGTGGATTTTTGTCAGCTTCAGCACAAGACGCCACGCACATGCATGCCCACACACATTTCCTTTCTGCACTAAAAAGAAGCGTGAGCGGTGTCATCCCTCAAGTGTCCCGTTTCAAACGTCCTAAACCACTTAAATTAGGCTCCGACATGAAAAAGCAGTCTCAAGAATAGCGTCGGTAGATTAAAGGTAGCGTGGAGTGCATTGGCGCAGAATAAATAATTGAATAATTGCTAAGTTGGACGTGTATCCAAAGA